GGACTGTAGTATGCAAGGAAAAAGCAGAGTTTGTACAACTATAATGAGATTGAAAGTTGATATTTTGTATAATTATCTTTATTCTTAAGCACAATCTGAACCCTCTAAGCCAAACCTTCTTGTAATTCTTTTTAAGTAGTCTTCAGGAATCGTTCTCCAGGTTTCTTGAAGGACATTCAAAGCTCTTCTTTGGAGGTTTTTGCCTTTTTCTCCAGAGTCCAGACCTCAATGATGTTGAGGTCTGGACTCTGGGGACGCCAATCCATGACTGATAGTGTCAGTCTATAGTGTCAGTCTTTTCCTTCATCAGGATGGCTTCTTGACATGCATCCTTTCGGGTCCTGTGTAAGGCCTTTGCTGGATATTTTCATATTTTCTAAGAAAATGACTCCAGATGTTCTTCTGTTGTAGATATAGTTTTTTAAAACCCTGCAAATGCAGTCTGAAGTACAAACTTTGAAAGACCTTCAAAGCATAATTTTTTCTGATAATTCTGTTTCTTTCCTTTTAGAAATATTTTGTCTATTTTCTTATTACTAATTTTCTGTTCATGCTTTCTCATAACGGTATCAGCCTATTAAGATATTAATACACACAAAAACATCGTCATCAGTGTGATCCAGTACCATGTGCCAACATTGGCAGCAGGAAACTTGAATGCATTGCAAAGCAGAAGTTGGAAAAGGAACAAAAACAACAAAAGAAGGATGAAAGATGTGTTTCTACTTTCTACTTAGAAACAACTGTAAATATTGCTGAGGCCAGAGCCAACATTCACTAGCTGCTACCCACCCCAAGCAAACAGCACAAAAAGAAAAAGCTAGGAAATGCAGTTGCTGGCCTTTCACAGCTGTCTTAAAAAATTATACGTTTGGCGTGTGCAGTAGTCTCAGTGCATGAAGATTGATAGTGACAACTGCAGACTTACAAAAGAGCTGAAACGAACTCCTGCTGTAAAGACCAGGCCAGTGGGAAAATAACAATAACATGTAAACAGTTTTGCTTCGTTTACATGTGAATGCAAATCTCATTCAATTTTCACGTCAATGTTATTTATATTGTGCCAAATCACAACAACAGCTGACTTAAGGAGCTTTATATTGTAAAAAGCAAAGACCCTACAATAATAGAGAGAAAACCAACAGTCACACTACCCCGTATGAGCAAGCTATTGGCGACAGTGGGAAAGAAAAACTCCTGTGGCAGAACCAGGCTCTGGGAGGGACAGCCAGTTGGGGGTGAGGGGAGGAAGATGGGACAAAAGCCACGCTGTGGAAGAGCCACAGATAAATAATAACTTGCATTTAAATGCATAGTAATTGAAAACAGGTGACAAAAGAAGTAACACTCATGATGCAAAGGGCCCAGCATCCTAGGCCTATTGCAGCGTAACTATGGGGGGATTCAGGGTCACCTGATTGATCCCTACCTATAATCTTTATCAAAAAGAAAAGGTTTAAGCTTAATCTAAACAGTAGAAATCCAAACCCAATTCAAGTAGAAAGAGTGGCTGACGGTCATCCAACTGACCAAGAGCTCTGACTGAATATCAGCTTGTCCTTCTGTTCCTCATAGGAAATGCCTTCCAGAGGGGGAGGGAAAGCACAAAATGAAAAATAGCAACAGGAATGACTTCATACTCAAGTTCACAGTCACTTCAATTCGCCTGGTGAACTTACCCCAGCAGAACAAAACCTGAATATGACAACACCCAATTTCCTCTTGTCCTCCCACATACCCCAGCTTAATTGTAGACTAGATCCACCCCGCTTAACGTTTCTGGCCCTCGTAAGCCAACCAAAGTCCGCTTTTATAAAGCTTTCATTAGCTGCCGATTACCGTCAGTGCCTGCTGGGGCTGGTAGGCTTTGGCCTTCATTAACAGGCCTGAGTCATACAAATGACTGTATGAGCCTGTGTGCACTATGTTCAGACAGCCAACATCCCGCTGAAGAAGAGATAAGTATTTATTTGATGTGTGCTCTATTCTACTCTGCCCCAGTCCATTTTGTTTTCGTTCAATTCTTCCAAAAAGCGTAGGCTGCAAGTGTCAAGTGAAATGTCGCAGCAACAAAATCCCCTGACAGCATGTCATGCTTTTGTCTGATACCAAATGGTAGTTTTTGTGTTCTGCCTCATTCCATGGGCGATAATTCTTTGAAAAAAATGATTCACTGCCACACCGATGACATCTCTGCTTGATGCCCTGCAATCCACTCTACACTGCCTGGCAATGTTCATTTCTTTACTAACTGCAGACTCTCTGAGAAAGCAGCATGTAAGTAAAGACGGGTAGCAAAGTAAATGAAAATTAAAAAAAAAAAAAAAAAAAAAGATGTCTGCCCGCACTGCAAATCAGTACCAAGTTGTCAGTGACCACCTTCATTATGTGATGAAGCACATCCTTCCTAATGAGAACATTTTTTTCCAGGATGTAACGCCTTTGTTCACAGGACATAATGGGTCAATGAATGGTTTGACAACGATGATCATCTTTTGACCAACATGTTCAACAGCGACCATCAAATCACCACATTACACAATGTCTTAGAAGGCTGGTGGGTCCATCCCTCCAGCAGTGTCTTAAAGGCTTGGACAATCAATACCAAGACACCAGTACGCTGTTTTGATGGCACACGCTGGCCCAATGCTTTAAAACTTTATTTTGTCACTGGTGTGTATATTCCCAATTCAATCCTAGATAAAAAGTTAAAAAGGCTTATTTTATTTAATGGCCTGCCCTCACGTTTTAGTTAGATATATGACCAAGCCAAAAACGAGACTTCAGGGAGATGAAAGATCTATGTGAAGCTAGCTATTACAGACACCTTAGTAACGTTATTTATTTTAAAATCACCTTCTTGAATCTTCTACATTATGTTGAGCTGTATTTGTGTCATGCTGCACAGTAGGAGAAGAGCAGCTCGATTTGCCAAAAGCGTGGAGAGCTTTTTCTTTTTCCTTTTTAAATAGTCCAAGCATCTGCGTCTCCCCTCACCCCAAGATATAACTCCATCTCTCTAGCATAACACATGCTAATGGACCATAATGCAACTAATGGGCTGCATCAACCACACTAATACAGACACTTATGTTAACATTATGATGAATAGAAAAAAAAAGCCCGATGGAGCAAAAGGCTGCACAGGTTTTCTCTCAGCAGGAGCGGGAGCAGCAAACAAGAGATTTAAAGCAACAGGATACTAAATTGAATGCTTTGACCAAGGAAGAGGGAAATGTGCTACTTTCAGGAGTAGCGGTGAGGAAAGGACCCAAGTGTAGAATATCAACGACAAAAAAAAAACAATTCCAAAAGGATGAACAGAGTCCAAAGAAACACACACACTACTGAAAATACAAAACAACAAAAAAAAAGATCCACAAAAAAGGTTAATCACAGGACCACAAACAGGAAGCCCGACCAACTGGCAAAGAAGAGAGGCGACGCACAGGACTATATGTACACAGAGCACTAATTAGGGAACGGGACACAGACGAGGGCGAAACAGAGGAGGAAGCAATTAGCAGGTGAAAACACTCAGGGAATCAGGGAAAGAAACAGACAGGAAGTAAAAAGTACGACAAGCACACTAAGAAAATTAGCAAAACAAACTGCGAGGTGAAGACACAAACACAGAGGGATCAAAGACAGGGGAGCACTGGAAAAAGTAAAATATTCACATTACAACAGGAACCAAAAGGCTTATATTACAATATGACAGAAACTCAGTGATACTTATTGACTAATACATGAGAACATTCTTATCCTGCACAAAAAACAAGTGCATATGCAAAGCTACCATTCGGTTTATGAAATATGCACACCGGCATATTTTCTTCTTTCCACTGTGCACATGTTAATAAATCAGAATCATTTCAAACCAAGAGGCTTGTGCAATCTCCTTACAATCAGCCATCTGCATTACTGTCCAGCCCCCATTTTTCTATACAAGGAAACATGTTTATATCCACGTGAAGCCGAGTAAGTGGTAACGAGAGATGTTGTAAGAGAGAAGCCTACACTGGACTTTAAAAACAATGAGGAAGCCAAAACAGGCACAGTTTTTTAAAGAGTCTCCATAGGAATGATGAAAAAAAGTGAAAATACGTTCAGGCTGACATAACAGAGGTTCTGAATATTGCTTCCCCTGTGCTTCTAAAAAGTGAAACAAGTGAAAAACCAGTTTGCTCATTGAAGCTGACATGTAAAAAAAGACTACATGAAAAAGAAGAAGACGGGTAGAGCACGTAATCTGTCAGCCCGAGATGAAAACTACTTCTAGAGCAGGGGTGTCAAACTCAAATACACAGTGGGCCAAAATTCAAAACTGGAACAAAGTCGCGGGCTAACGTTAATATTTATTGAAATATATTTATTCCTCCAGATATAAGAATCAATCTTTTCTTATGGACTCAAACACGTTTTGCTGAAAAACTGAATATGGAACAAGCAAAGCTTAATACTAAACAATATATATATTAGCTGTATAATACCAGTAGGCCAGCTCTGATAGTAATTTGGTATGGCTTCGCAGGCCAAATGTAATCAGGCTGCGGGCCAAATTTGGCCCGCGGGCCAGTTTGACACCTATGTTCAAGAGCATCAGTGGAATAGTGCCATGGAATCAGACTGTAAGTGATGATGTCCATGTTCCAATTTTTAATGAAAAACAAGATCAATTTAAAGGTTAAGACCTACACCTTTCCATTTAGTATTTTGTTTTCTTTCACCCTTTTTTTGTTCGTAGAAATATAATTTAATTGTTCTTGTAGGCAAAAGCATGTCACTGGATGAAACGGTCAGGAGGTGCTTGTCCTCACACAGTGAGCAAACTCCTGGGCTAAATGTTACCTACCTGTATTAATAAAACTGGTTGCTACTACCAATCAGAAAATGTTGTAAAGAAATTAATAACAAGAACTTTCCACATTTCTTCTTAAATAAAAAAAGTCTGTGTTTTAAACAGCACACACAGTTTCTTGTTTCCTGACAGTCCTTACCTTGCAGAGCCTCCTTGGCTCGATCCAGCTCCTGTTCCTTCTGCGCCAGCTGCACACGGAGTTCGGTGGCAGAGAGCACGTCAGCCGAGCAACCTCCCTGGGTCTCCTCCAGGTCCTTATTCAACATGTCCTTCATCTGCCGCAGCAGGTGCACCTCTTCCTGGAGCTGGGCCACCTCTTCACGCAGCAGAACTGCAATTTGCAGAAAAGGAAGAGAGCTTTAGCAGGCCCGCACCACAACGTTGCCCAAATTAGTGCAATTGTGAATCGCTGCACAGTTTTAACAGTGAATATGCATTTAAGCCAAAATAAAAGTGTCACTTCAGCAGAGAGAGAAGGGTCACATGCTTGCTGGAATTGGGTCTCATACTGGTGCATCGGCTTTGAACAGCTACATGACTGCAGATATTGTTGTGTGTGAAATGCTAAACTGATTTAACATCACCACGGGAGGCTGCGGTTTTATTTGTTATTGAGATAACTGCAGAGCCAAATTACTGACAGTAATAAGCATCACAGAGATAGGTGCGGTCCATTAGATGAGTAGAGACAAGGCACTGATTGTGTAATGAAATTTGTCTTTGAAGTCGTCTGTTGAACCTTCTCTGTGTTGACAGGATTGACGAGTAAAGGCGAGAGGGGTACTCATTTAATATTCATTGAATGGTGCTTTAAAGTACTCCTCACTGTCGTTGTGACAAAGACGAAAAACGACAAAATGAAAAACAACAGCACAGACTATTGTTTTTTGTTTTTTTGTTGTTTTTTTCCCTCGCAATTTGACTCGGGGTAAAATTTTTTAAAGTGCTTTCAAAGCACCAGCAGCAGTGAGAGGATTTCGCTCCCTTTTAAAACAAGCCACAACAGACAAATGTCACACTTCAATTTTTCACATTAAAACTAAAAACTAAAATCCAAAATTGTGACTTTTGGCACACTGAACGCGGGTGTCTAGGTGGAGCATATGGAGCGTCATTTATACTCGGATGAGTAGAGTCATTCTGTTTAATTTCATGCATCCTCGGGGCAAAGGGGGAGGGTGGGGGTGAGGGGAACTGCTTTACCCCATCTCGTGCAGTTCCAGCATCAAGTGCCATGCATAAATCACACTTCATACTCTGAGACTCCAGCTCCAACTCACACTGAAAAAATTAAATCTGAGATGAATGGGACAACTAAGGATGACAAATGTCCTCTGTATTTCCTGGTCATTGTTGCACATTTGAACCAAGAATTTCAAAGATGTAATAAGTGATGCTTTTCTAAATTTAAACAGCATTACAAAAAAAAAAAAGAACTGCATTCAGTCAAGGTTAGGATTTCTGGTCATGTAAAATTTGAACGTGTAGAAGACGATTGCAAGTCCCTTAATCAGAACCTAATCAGAAGTTTCCATGTGGAAGCGAGGCAACTGTCTGTTATCTAAAGAACGTGCTTCTATAATCTTGTTACAGACAATAGCTCTAAGTCACTAGATGCACAGTAACAGCACTCTGCACAATGCGCTTTTAAACTGTCTTTTTTTTTTAAGGCATTTAGGCCTGTTTGTCATAGCATTTTATATTGTTTTAAAGCATTTTAAATTCTCATGGTATTTTCATCTCTTAAGTAGACTGTTTTATACTTTATGTACTTAAATTAATTGAGCATGTGTGCGGTGCGACTTTCTTTCATTCTACTTCAAACCCTGTTTGGACGGGATCAATTAAATTAGGTGGTATATTATATATACTATATATATGTACCTATGTTTGAAATTACAGAAGTGATTGCTTGAGAGACAACAAATTTTGTTATATGTGTCACATCCACGGACAGTAACATTATTACAAACACAATGCAATGCCTCCAAATAAAACCATTCTGGGTTTAAATGCTGCCATAGTGATTCCTGACATATATGATATTATGAAACATCATATCAATTATATTATTATCAATTACTTATTTTAATTTACTTTTTTGTGATTAATCACTCCATCCATCCATTCGCTTCCGCTTATCCTTTTCAGGGTCGCGGGGGGCGCTGGAGCCTATCCCAGCTGTCATAGGGCGAGAGGCGGGGTACACCCTGGACAGGTCGCCAGTCT